CGAGCCTCCCTTGGCAGTTGGAAACGGCTGGCTGTGTGGTGTCAGGATTGCCTTTCTTTGCCTGGAAGCCCAGCAGCAAGTTTTCCTGGGCAGACGCCTTGCACGGGGTCGCTCGTTCTCCATCCTCCAGACAACCACAGCTGCCTCTGCGGCCCGGAGACCTGTGACTGGGGACAGACTCCAGCCTGCCCCCGAGAGGGGGCCTCACACATGGAAACAACGATAAAGCTCCGCTATTTCATATCTGCAGAAACCTGGGAAGTAAGCGTGGGAATAGCTTCTAATAATATTAGACCAAGGAGAGGGAATTTAACGCTGGATACGGTAGAGTTTGTTGATACAGGTGGATTTACCAGAAATGTGGATTTAACGTTTAGTGCATGCCACCGGGAACGGCTCTGAAGCTTTCTGAGTTGACTGCCTTGAAATGGAGGGCACTGCTGAGTGCATGTTTGAGGAGGCCGAGATGCCAGAACTTCGGAGGCCTAACGAGGAAGAGTGAACCCACAGGCTCAGGGAGATTTCAGCACATGCGGCCTGCACACCCAGCCCTCAGCTACCTTCCCCAAAGGGGCCCCGAGGTCACAGCCTCCCCAGGTTTTTGAGAAATGTCTGCGTGCGGGGACCCCTACCCGCTGAGAAGCTGCGTGCTGGCTGCGCTCTGCAGGGGGCAGCACCATGACGGCCTCACTAATGCCAGTGTGGTGGCAGGTCCTGAGGGAGCAGGGCAGGCTCGTGGCCAGGGGTGAGAATGTTCTGATTCGCAGATGGTTTGGTTGTGGCTAACCAGTTACAGCATCCCTAGGAGTGAGACAGACGCGTGGCCCTCTAAAGTGTTGCCTGATCTACGTAACAAGAAAAATTCTCAGTCCAGGGGACAAAACCCCAACTTGAGTCACCAACATGGAGTCCTGTCCTCTCACCGTTTCCAGACCCGGGCCGCTCTCAGACCCAGAGCCCCATTCTGAGGGGCGCGGGGTCCCCCGAGGACAGTGCCCCGCCCAGGACGTGCCGTTCCTCCTGTCCCACTTCCTAGGATGACTGAGCACTGGGGAAAAGGAGACGCAGACTTTCCAGGGTGACCGGATGCTGGCTCTGAGTGGACGCTAATTCCTAGAACCCCAAATGCCACCACGGTCACTGGTTAAAGGGGGGGCTTACAGTCAGTCAGGTGACAGACGGAGTCTCAGCCAAGGTCAAGCACAAGGAGCTCACGGGGCTGCAGGCCACACTGCGGTTACCCGCTCAGTCCCGAGTATGTTACTGGGATCCCTACACTGGCTCTCAGACCCACGGGGCGAGGGATATCGTGCCGAGGAGGCCCAGGGAGGCCGCTCCTGAAGCTACCAGATTGGCAAAGCCAAGCACAGCAGAGCATCCCTGGGGAAGTGCGCAGATGAAGAGGCTGACCGTCACACCCCAGGGAAGCGGCCCGTCTGGCTGTGACCGCATCTCCCAGAGTGACTGGATTCCTGTAACTCCAGATGCAGCATCGCAGGGCCCTGCAGCCGTCAGCCACGCACGCTTTTTCTCTGTACCAACGTACAAGGACCCTGAGAAGCAGTCTGCCTTGACACTGCATGGCGCACTCTCACACCCTCACCTCTGGCTCTCTGACCGCACACTGTCTGCAGAGATGCTTACCACCCCACAGGCCTCATGTCACACGGTCCCGTGACATCGATGACACAGTGCTGACGGGTCTGATGGGCAGGAAGTGGCAATGCTTTAGACGCCTCAGTGTGACATCAGCCGGCCAGCCAGCCAGTGAGGCGTCAGGGTGAGGGAGGCCATGGCCTGGAGCGTTGGAGAGACCCCCGTGCCACTCAGGCTGCTGCCCGCACCCCTGCCACCCTTGGCAGGTCTCCGCAAGAGGCACACACCGTGTCTGAGCGCTGCTCTGACACGGTCAGAGTGAGTCTTCACAGGGGCCCAGAGCAAGACACAGCTCTGCGGCAGGGCAGGCCCCTCGTCCACCCAGGCCTGGGGCCCCCCGCAAGGCCGAGCAGGGGACGCCGAATGAGGCCCCCATCAGGCACCAGCAGGAGATTCACTGGGTTTTCGGAAAAAACAAACGAAGAGCAAAAAGCCATGCCTTCTTCTGCAGGTAATTATTTTCCTCTTGAGAAACAGTTCCTGGCTTACTACGGGCCCCTGGTCGGGAAGGAACAACTCGGCTGAGATGCCGAGTGACCATGCAAGCCGAGCGGGCGGCGTCTGCCCCGTCCAGCCTGAGCTCCGGGCGCCCCGCGACACTGGGTGAGGGAGCCGGGCATCACCCCCTCCCTCAGTCACACCGCAGTCGGGGCTCTGGACGACCGCCGACGCCGAGGGAGAACCAGGCGGGCCAAGGGGGAGGGACGCCAACTCCAGGATGTGCACTGGGCTCCGGGGCACCAGGACCAAGGCGCCGTCTCTCACACTGACGCGAGACTCGGCAACAGGACCCTGGGGCGCGTCACAGCTCCGCCTGCGGGAGGCCCACGCACGGGCCTCGCAGAGGCCGAGCTGGAGCCTGAGGGCGCGGCCGCCTGGGGCAAGGAGCCCTTCTCTCCCTCTCTTCTCGGGCTGTCCCAGTCACCTCCGTTGTCTGCGACCCCGTTTTCTGTTCACCTGTGAACAGCTGACTCTGGTTCCCAGACCAGCTGTGTCTCTGATACTCTGGGCCCTCAGGGTAACTTGGTCAGAATATAAGTGTTGTTCTGCAACCTGCTTTTTTTTAACTTAAAAGTAAATACATTAGGGGACGTCCCCGGTGGCTCAGTGGATAAGAATCCACCTGCCAATGCAGGGGACATGGGTTCGAGCCCTGGTCTAGGAAGATCCCACATGCTGCAGAGCAACTAAGCCTGTGCGCCACAACTACTGAGCCCACAGGCCGCAACTACTGAAGTCCACGTGCCTAGAGCCCGTGCTCTGCAGCAAGAGAAGCCACCGCAATGAGAAGCCCGCGTACCGCGACGAAGAGTAGCCCCCGCTCGCGGCAACTAGAGAAAGTCCGTGCACAGCAACGAAGACCCAACACAGCCAAAAATAAATAAAAAATTAAATCTTAAACAAAAAACAAACACATTCTCCACAAACGTTTTTTCCGCCCTCCTCAGTGGCTCCGTGCTGTCCTATCACACGCGCACACAGGGAGCCGTCTAGGCCACGACCCCGCCCAGAGGATGGTCACCTGGTCTCGGGGATGGGCTGTGTCTCCCCTGCTCGCTTCCCTCGTTCTCGAGACATGTCCACGACCACCACTGCTGTCTGTGTCTAGACAACAGTCGACTCAGCCCTTTCAAACACATCTTTAACTTTGCTATAACCAGTGCCAACCCCCCCATTTCCATGGTAACCAATTTTAGCTCCTTTAAAGCTTAGAGCCTCAAGGATTCGTGACTTCCAGGAGACAGGCACATGCAGCCTCTATTAATTAGGAAAGTGAGAGTCACTGGATTAGTGACCTCCGATGATCCATAAAGCATCCCATTTTTCATGTCTTACTCACTCTGGCTAAATTCTAAATTCAGAAAAGAGTTAATATTACGACACGGGAAAAGCTGAACAAGAGTGAAAGCAGGTGCAGGGCGTACGCGCTGTCATGTGCTTTTCTGTCGGGGGAAAGCGACAGTCAGGACTTTGGAGGGTGGAGTGAGGGTGAGACGGGCTGATCTACTTTACTTGGGGAATTCAGAATTTCTAGTTACTTTCCTACTGAAGTCTGTAGTTACAGCGGTAGAGACATTTCCTGTAACACTGCATCTGGATGCCTCTCTGTCCTCTTTGTGTCAAAGAATCAGAGTTGCAGAAGGGACCTTGAAGGTTACCTGGTCCGAAGTGAATTTAGCAAAGTCATAGGATTTTAGGCCAATTTATATAAAAAAAAAAAATTGGAAAATAAAATTAAGAACTAAGCCATGTCTACATTCTTGAGAATCCTGTGCAGCTGAGACTGAATGCAGGCAAAGTAGCTCCTAGAGCCCAGGCGTCCTCAAGGAAGAGCTACAGGGCGGGCCGCTGGGGGCACCAGCAGAGCAGGCGGGGGAGGCCTGGGGAGAGGGCCCTGAGCGCTGGGACGAGCTGGCAGGGCCAGGGCATACATCTCCTAGGACAGCCCTGGACGAGGCTGAAAGAGGCCGGGGTGAACTCGCACAGGCACCTTACCCGCTGGGGTCCCCCTGAGGGATCAGCGGAGGCTGCCCTCCCTGGCCTTTGCCCCTTCCCCTTCTCCCCCAGTCCCCCAGGGGCTCCCCTGGCAGGACGCCCTAATAAAGCGCCCACTGCCCATGAATTCCTGGCTCAGCATCTACTTTTGGGGAACCCAGGTGAAAACAATCCTGCTTGATAAAGATTTATGTATAAATCTATACACCAAATGCACACACGTATACCTGTGTATGCACACGTATTTTATTATACCGGATGTAATTTGGTCATCACATTGAATGTATTATTTGGGACTTTTCATGTCTGATTGTAAGTAATATTGGTATAAAATGAGTTACAATAAGCATAATTTTAATACCAAAATAATCAGGTTCAAATTTTCTGCTGAAAGAGATCAGTAGAGTTTTCTCTAAAGAGATTACCCACCTGAGTGATGCTTTCTTTTTAACCAGTATTATTTCAACTTCACTGTTCTACTAAATAGCTATAAGGTCTTCAGGACGAGCTGAGGGAGGAGGTGCAGCTAGCGGTTAAAGGCTTGGGGCCGGCACGCATCACACAGACCCGAGCGCCAATTCCAGGCCCCGTCACTCATCAGCTCTGTGGGCTGAGCTCTTAAATGCTAGAATGTGAGCAAACTCTAGATAATGAGCTTCCTTATCCGTAAAACAGCACATTCCTCAGAAGGCTGCCATAACGACTGACAACTCAGACAAAACCTCAGCACAGGACCTGACGTGCAGAAAGGACTGCATACTGTCTGCGGGTATTGCTGGATTTAACTTACCCGACAAAGCAGGCACCAAATAATATACCCCAGATTCAGGGAAACTGGGCACACTCACTTGTAACGTGGTATCAAAGACCACAAGCTTGGAGCTGGTTGGAACGATGTCGTAACACTTGTGTGACCTCATGAATCGCATGTAAACACCACTCTCTGAGTCTTCTGCTAAAAAGGAAAGAAAAAAAAGGCAAAGGTCAGTAACAATGATGAACCTCCTCTATCAGGTTAAGAGCATGCGTGAAAAATCTACTGCTAACAGACTTAACGGAAAATAGGAAGTGTCCTCCCTGTAAGAGCGAGAAGCTCATGGTGCTCAACACTGCTGTCCTCACTAGTACAAGAAGGCAAGAAAAAAAATGAAGGCTACGGAAATAAAAGGAAAAAGCAAAACTGTCTTTATTGGCAGACTCTATGATTTTCCACATAGAAAACACCAAAGAATCTACAAAAAAGTTCCCAGATCTAAAAAAAGAGTTTAGCAAGGTCAGAGAATGCAGTTAGTAAAAAACAACAACAACAAAAAACATGCCCCTGTATTTCTATATACTAGCAAGGAATAACTGGAAATTTAAAAGATCTGAAGGCATCATTTATATAAACGTGAAATGGAAATAAGGATCTACACAAGGAGACAAGGAGCCCTGAAAACAGCAACGATGTGAACAAATACATATAAAGTAGTCTTTATTATTTAAATTTCTGTAGCAGTTAATTGACAGTTGGCAAAAGGAATGACAAGGTACTGTGACTCCAAAGCTGTGCCTGTAGCCGGACAATGGCCCACTGCCCACGGCCCAGGAGGACCTTACTCCTATCTCCTGGTTCGCTCAAGGAATACATCTCCATGAGACCTCTTTGACAATGCCGCTGAGCCCACACCAATCTGTACATTTGGGGAAGATTTAGATTACCTGGGAAATATCCCAGAAGAAAAAAATTACTATATTGTACATACTAATTAGCAAGATAAGTGTTAAACAGCATGACACTAACCAAGTTCCTTGACTGTGGAAAGGAGCCCCTGTTATTCTGTTTCCTACTGTGGTAAACACGCTGTATGTGCTGACTGGTTTGCCAATTTCACAGTAAACTATGTGAACCACTCCCAAACCTCTATTTTCATTTCTGACCTCTCTTCAGGGTACTGTAACTCATAGTTCATAATCCCATCACCTCCTGGGCAGTTCCCTTCTCAAATATCTCCCCTTCTGCTCGTGGAATAAAGACAGACAACTCAGGCTGGCATTCACGAACCTCCGTGGTCTGGCTTCTCCGTGGCCTCATTTCCCTACTTCCTGTTCTCGGGTCCAGGCACACAGCTCCCTGCTAATAAGCTCCCTACCGTCCTTAATCTCACTTTCTGGCATTTGTTCCTTCTGCTGTAATTTAAACTCCCTTCTCCACTTTTTTCTCGTCCAATTTCAACCCAACCTCAAATGCCATCTCCTCCATAAAAGCAGTGAACATCTGAGCGCTCATTTCTGTGCTGTAACTCCAGGTACTACAGGAAATGACCTCATTTAATTTATGTCACGACCTTGAAGGGTGTGCCTCCATTTCTTCACTTTACGTATGAGCTGATTGAGCAACGGGCCTGAAGTCAGCAAGTTAGGCAGTGACTGGAGTGGGATTTGAATTCGTGCCCGAGACTCCAACCCTCTCCTCATGGAAACTCTGCCGCTTAGTCTCCCCATGAACGCACGGGCCCAAGAGACACCTGTGAAGCTACTGTCTTTGGGGCACTGTCCCAGTGTCGAGACACGAGGGGACACAGCAGACACACCTCTGTCCTCCCAGCTCACCGGCTGGCAGAGCGAGGGCACCGGGATGTGAGCCACGCGACAGGTGAGGTGCTGGATGGCTCAAGGTCACAAGGCAGGAGCCGACCCTGAGTCAGGAGGGTAAGGAGGGAAGGCTGCAGCGGCTTCTTCCCCTGAATACGCATGTTCTATGTGCACTTCTCATCAGTCGTCACTTTATGTCTCATTCATGTGATCTGCACAGCTCTGATAATCTTTTTCTTCCTGGATGATAATTTCTTTGAATGGTCAGGATCTTACTCATTTACTACGCTAATTAATTTCATCGATACCGACTTACCGCATATGGTCTCGGTGTGGGTTCTCCCAAAACTGACCCCGAGACCAGGGAAAGTGAGACGGAAGGAAAGAGTCAAAAAGGGAGCTCCAGGAAGCAGGTCACAGCTCTGTGCAGAGTCACAGCTGCTGGGGACCCCGGAGAGGCTGCGCACGGACCTCAGAACTGCCTCCTAGTCAGGAGCACCCCGCCCTCTTTGGTGAGGGCTTACCCTGGGGCATGACCTCTGACATTCCTGCCCTGCGCCCACAAGCCCAGCTGCCAGAGAACACCCTCGGTCGGAGCTGTTCGGATAGGAGAACTTGGATGCAGGCGAGGCGCCCACAGCCATCTGCTCCCAACAGCTTCCACTGTGCTGGAGGCTGGGGGTCCCTGGGGACCCAACACACATGCCACTGCCTTGCAGGTACTACAAACCAGTGCGGGAGAGACATTAACCGTCACTACACCGTCATGAGTGCTACCACAGGACAAGTCCGGGCTTGTGAACAAGGTAAGTGGCAGTCAGTGAGTGGATGGATGGAATTTGAGTCAGTGTGCTTCTGTTTTTCTCAAAACGTTTATCTCCCGGAAAATAGGAGTCTTGCACAGGAAAGAACTGGAATGCAGGACGTTCATACGACAGCCACACGCAAAGTCCCGGTCCTTCTCTGCCACCACTGCTCTGGCACTGCCAAGGATGACGACTACCAGGCTGCTAAATGAGTTGTTTCCTCGAAGTCTATTCAGAGGGGATCCGTGCAGACACAAGGCTCAAAGGACCAGTGCAGGCAAGCCCACGTGTAACTAACATTTAACTTACAAAGTTTACAAAGTGCTGGTCAAATCTATTCTCCTAAAATGCAAATGAAGGACATCAAGGAGGAAACTATAATAAAATGTAACACTCCATCTCCCAGAAAGGAACCCTTAGGAGACAGTGTGTCTGTTAATTAAATCAAGAATTTTCATAAAAGGAGTGCACATTTTGTAGATGTTAACATCACAATACGAATATCTGAAATAAAATCTTAAAATACTATGGAAAGAAATATTCGAACTTTTAGAATTTTTAAAACACTGTAAGCTTTGTGTTAAACATGTTTTGGGGGTAACGTCTTAATTCGTCTGTTAGTTTTTAAAAATATTTAAATAAACATTTTATTTTGAATAGCTTTAGATTTATATAGAGAAGCTGTGAAGACACAGCAGTTCCTTATACACCCCATACCGGATTTCCCCTAAAGATAACATCTGACGTTCCTCCGGCACATCTGGCACAACCAGCGAACCATCACTGATACATTACTAAAAAGTTCACACTTTAATAGGGTTGCCTTAGTTTTCCCCTAACATCCTTTCTCTGTCCCAGGACCCCATCCAGGACAGCACATTTAGTCATCATGCTCCGTAGCCTGCCCTAGGCAGTGATGGCTTCTCAGACATTCCTTGTGTTCGATGACCTTGAGTACTTGACCTTGAGACCTTGACCAGGAGTACTGGTCAGGCATTCTGTAGAACGGCCCTCATTCCGGATTTGTACGATGTTTTTCTCGTGATCTCAGTTTTGGGGTTTGTGTGTTTTAGCAGGAAGACCAGAAGGCCAAGTGCCTTTGCATCCCACTGTATCTAGGGCACCTGCTGTCAACACACCTCATCACCTGGGTCGCCTGGCCCGGGTAGGATCTGTCGGGTCTTTCCCCTGCAGAGACTCTCCCCCCTCTTCCCACACTGCAGTCTTGGCAGGGAAGTCACGGTCCACCTCCCTGAGGGAGAAGCATCTGCATAAATTACAGTAAATCCCCTACACGTGAACCTTCAAGTTGCGAACTTTCAAAGAGGTGAATGTGCCTTCGCGTGTCCAATCACATAAGTTAGTTCACGTGTCTGGCGTACGCTGTCAGGAGTGTGCATCTTCGACAAGTGGTTGTGCTCTTGCGTACTTTACAGTACTGTATAGAGTACAGGAGTACAGCATCTTTATTTCAAGCCCAGGGAGTCCAGAAGCAAGCGTAAAAGCAGTGGTGATGTAGCCGGTACCGCTAAGAAGTGCCAAGCGATAACGACGGAAACAAAAGTGAAAATAACTGAGAGAGTGGAGTGAGGTGAAAAGACGGTAGACATCGCTCATTCTTATAAAATGAGTCGTTCAACCATCGGCACGATTCTAAAGAACAAGATCATGGAACATGTAAGGTCTGCTGTGCAGACAAGAGTATCAGAGAAGCGTGGAAAACTGGGGGAGGAGATGGAGAAACTTCTCAGTGTGTGGATGCAGGGCCAGCATCAGTGTTGAGTCCCGCTCAGCTTCATGCTGATTCAAGAGAAAGCTAAAAGCCTTTATGAAGGCTTGAAGAAACACGGTGAAGAATCAGAGGGCGCATCTTCTAATGCCAGCCACGGCTGGCTTCGTCGGTTCAAGACTGGAGCCAAGCTTCACAACTTAAAAGTAGGTGGCGAGGCAGCGAGTGCAGATACGGTAGCTGCCCAGGAATTTCCTGAAACGCTTCAAGAAATTATTGATGAAGGCGCGTATTTACCTGAGCAGGTGTTTAATGTGGACGAGACAGGACTGTACTGGAAAAGGATGCCAGACCAAAGTTACATCAGCAAGGAGGGAAAGTTGATGCCAGGCTATAGAGCAGCAAAGGACAGGCTAATTCTGTTGTTTGGTGGCAATGTTTCCGGTGATATGAAGCTGAAGCCTCTCTTAGTTTATCGTTCAGAGAACCCAAGGGCCCTTAGAAACATAGCCAAGGGCTCTCTTCCTATCGTGTGGAAGAATAACCCCAAGGCCTGGGTTACACAGGCCATTTTCCAGGACTGGTTTTTCCACCACTTTATCCCGGAGGTAGAGAAATATTGCTTGGAGCAGAACGTCCCATTCCACATTCTTTTGTCGCTCTACAGTGCTCCAGGCGACCCCCCATTCATGGATGACTTGCATCCCAACGTCAAAGTAGTGCATCTGCCACCGAATACTACGTCGCTCATCCAACCTATGGACCAGGGAGTTATAGCGACTTTCAAGAAATATTATTTATGTCACACTTTTCGTCAGGCAGTAAAGGCGACTGACGAATCAGGAA